TCCCCCCCCCCCCCCCCGCCCCGGGCCCTTTATCTCTTTTTACTGAAATCCTCTTAAAGTAAATTGTAGGCATCATGATACTTCACTTCTAGATATGCTAGCACTGGAACTAGGCAGGACCTTTTTCCTACATGACAGTACTGTTAGTACAGTTAAGAAATTTAATATCTATGCAATAATGCCACCTAACACACAGTACAGAGTCCCTATTGAGAAGTTTCCCAGTAATTAATTATCCTAAGAATGTCCTTCATAGCTGTATGTTTGTGAATAATATGATGGAGGAACCACTTGTTTTTTTCAAAAAAATTATTCTTTTATTGTTGATTTATAATTTGGCTATCTTTAGGTCCAGAGGAACGTGACCTACATAATGTTGGTTTTTGGAATTTGTTGATGATTGCTTTGTGACTTTAGTACATGGCCATTTTTTTATATCAAGTTTGTTAATTTAGTTCAGATCTTCTATCGTCTTACTCATTTACCCTTGATACTTCGTTTTATGAAAGAGCTGGTTTGGTTGATTTCTCCTTGAAATCCTCAGTTATGCTTCATATGTGTCAAAGTGATAATAAAAGATACATAGTGACACTTAAGAAAAAAGAATTTCCAAACAAAGGAATAGGAAAGGCCAGTTTCTAAAAGTGGAATGAACAGTTACAGAACACTCCCAAACTCACCATTTTCTCCAGAAAGTTAAAGTACCATTTGTATAAGAAAAAGTTTCTGTTGAGACCTGCTTCTCAGCTTTCTATGCCTTTGGAAGAGTATAAATAAAAACGAATAAAAGGGCACCTGGGTGGCTCAGTTGATTAAGCGTCTGATTCTTGATTTCAGCCCAGGTCATGATCTCATGGTTCATGATTTCGAGCCCCACATCAGGCTCTGCACTCAGCACAGAGCCTCCTTGGAAATCTGTCTCTTTCTCTCTCTCTGCCCTTCCCCTATTGGCGCTCTCTCAAAATAGAATAAAAATAAACTTTAAAAAAACGAGTATGCATTTTAAGGAAAATCTATCATTTGGACATTTTAAAGATTGATAAGGCCCCCTGAATAGGCTGCCTTTTTTTTTTTTTTTAATTTACATCCAAGTTAATTAGCATTGCAACAATGATTTCAGGGGTAGATTCCTTAATGCCCCTTACCCATTTAGCCCATCCCCCCTCCCACAATCCCTCCAGTAACTCTCTGTTTGTTCTCCATATTTAAGAGTCTCTTATGTTTTGGCCCCCTCCCTCTTAAAGTCCTCATATGAGTGAAGTCATATTTGTCTTTCTCTGACTAATTTCGCTTACCATAATACCTTCTAGTTCCATCCACGTAGTTGCAAATGGCAAGATTTCATTCTTTTTGGTTAATAGACTGCATTTGAAAAGGAAGCAGACCCATTTTGCTCTGTAGAGAATTTCTAAGTCACTCCCATAGAGATGGGCCTTCACTAGCTGATATCTTGAGGCCTTGTTAATGCTGTTAGAGTTTGATACAGAGATCTTCTTTATAAGACATTTTCAGGTCATTAGTCATAACTTTGATTTGCTTGATCAATGATTTGTCCTGCTTCCTTAAATTTCTGAAAATATTAACCTTGGTTTTTATTCTGGATCTTGGGGTTACACATTGATGCCAAAACAGGTGACAACTGCATTAAGCACCTTTCACTTTATATCCCACTCCCCCTGCTTTTTCTTCTCCCTACATGGGGACCCCTGGGATTTCTGGATACAGACCAAGTGAGGTGTGTATGTGAGGGAATCTGCCAGCTGTGTGTGCAGCGTGAGTTTGCTGTGTTGCTGATTCCCACCTGTGACTAGGAACCCTCCTGGGGTGGGTAGTCATCCTAAATGACAGTCACTGGGGATGGGGAACCTGGTCATGATGCACCTGAGCTATACCCGCAGTCCAAGGACCTGTGGGTATATAGCAAAAGTGAGGCCCACGTGGCCATTCCTTTCTGGGCGGTTGTTCTAAACCCAAGGAGATTTGGAGTCTGTTAATCAAATTGACTTTTTTTTTTTTTCCATTGTCCTCCTCAGACCTTCGCAGGTTAATGAAAAGTCCTAGGAAATTTCCACCTTTAGCCCTTTGGGTAGTCCTCAGATAGCCCTGATTTCTAAGAAAATGCCTGTGTTTGAAGTTTTGGAACCAATGTAGGATTGGTGAATAGTCTTCCTCAGCATCTTTGTAATCTTCTGAGAAGCATAGGCCTGCTTTGTTTTTGATAAGTCACTTATTTTATAAAAATATAAGCAAAGCTAACTTCCTGCTGACAATTTGCCATTGGACACAGCTGGGTAAGAAGAATGGCGGAAAGGTGTGGCTCAGGTGAACTTTCCCTTTATAACTTGTCATAGACTCTTCGGACTTGTATTTCCTGGGAAACCATTTTAATTTTGTTCCACTGGTGAACATCATCGAAGACAAATGTTCATCAACTGCCTTCTGGGTACAAGCCGAGAACCACCATTCATGGGGTGGGGTGTATACAGGGTATGCTATTCCACTGTTCGGTTATCTTAGCACTTAGACTGTGGACCAGGTTGTACAGTGGCTTCTTGCATATTTGCAGGAGGGAGAGCAAAGAAGTTGAGTCACCAAGTTGGTGACTACCACCGGCCCCAGAACCCGTTTTTCCCTACCAATGTATGCACCTGATATGTGAGGGCGCTGGCATGAGACTTGAGGGGTGGGCAGAGGGGAGCAGCCTCTTGGTGCTCACAGGCAGGTTAGAGAACCTTAGGTCACTGCTAGTATCTGAGTAGGGAGCATCAACTCCGGGGACGCTGCTGCTGTCACTGTCCTCTGAACACCCCAGCGGACATTAAGTAGCACGGGTTCAGAGAAGGAAGGGACCGCTGTTAGCTTTGTAGAGAGTAGATGGGATGGGCTTACTTATAGGCCAAGGGAGAGGGGCGGGATGTTAGAGATTTGGGAGGAGGTGGGGACACTGGAGAAGGAAGAATGGAGGAAGCAACCAGGTTTATTTGGTCTGAAATGGAGACAGAGCTGTGAAAGTTGGTCAGAGCCAGACTGTGGACCCTACTGAGTCCTAAATTTTAGGCCCAGGTGGTAAAATGTAACATGTAGTTGGGTCTCCTCCTATCCTAAGCTCCTGAGAAATGAGAGTAAATGTCGGCCTGTCATTCAGGACTCTGTAATGTATTAGGCCTAATACATTCATTCATCTAGTGTTTTTTGTATTACATAAAATTGATATTGGTTGGAGTAGCTAGAAGTACTATGTTGGCGGTCCAAGGACATTTATTATTATTATGCCTTATACCATTTGCACAGATGCTTGGTATAGATACCACGTGATACAAGAGGAATGCCTTCCACAGACAAAAATCCAAATGATAAAATAGCCCGTATTTGTTTTCTGGAAATAAAATATTCCAGCCCCCTCTGAGGGTTAGAAAATGCTCGCTTCACTGTCACAGTCTATTTATTGACATGAGGTTCAATTTGGTGCATCTCTGGGAGGGATCTCCCAGAGGAGAGCTGGGAGAGCTCTTCCCAAGGAGAAGCTGATTTGACACCCAAAGAGATAGTATCTTTAGCCTGTGTCCATCCATACTGGTGCTGGGACGCTGTCTGCAAAGTCTTCCCTGCCGTGTGGAGCTGGGGGACAACAGAACGCTTGGGTGTTTAGCTCCTGAGCAGAAGTGGTGGCGTGTTGGTGCCACGTGCCCGGATGCTTTCCTTCCCACCCCAGGTTTGTTTCCAGTAGCGGAGCAGCTCCCAGCGCCGCGGGTGTCCCGGTCCGTGTGTCCTCATTCCCTGTGCTGCGCTGAGCCAGCTGCTCCCGGAGACTGATGAAGTCAGATATTCTTGCCAAGCTGGGGGGGAGAATTACTCTCACTTATTAACAGGGAAAAACAAGTCCTGGTGTTCTTAGATGTTGAATTTGATTCTTGGCAGATTGTTTTTCTTAATCTTTTTGAACAGGGGTTATATTTACGTGGATCTAAAATTATAAAATGGTATGTGATTAAAAGTCTTATTTCCCTGAGCCCCAGCAGTCCATCCCCCACATGCATACATGTGAAACCATGTTTTATTAAGGTCTTCATATCATTCGTATGAATGCAAACAAATAAGGATGTGTAGTTTGGCTTTCCCCTCTTCCACAGACACATTATATAGGCTGGTCACTGCTCGTTAGAGAGTTTCCCTCCATTGCCTGAGTCTTCCAATAAAGAAACAAAATAAGTTTAATAAAGGTGCACTAACTAGTTTTATAGACAGTGCTGCTTTGGACTGATGGGGAAAGAGCTCTGCTTGGAATTGATTACCAAAAATAATAGTATAGTTTCTGATGAGGTTCTGTGATGACTCTAATGAACCTGGATGTGTAAATGCTACTCTGTCTCCTAGAAATTGAAATTTTGAAAAAACTCAGAGTGGGTGTTCCTTTGGATTATTGGTAATGAGAACTCTTTCATGTGTCCTTTTTGCCTGGAGTCATTTTCACTTCCTGTCACTCTTCTTTTTTTTCCTCCAGCATCTCACTCCCCTGCTCCTCTCCTAAGCCTCTTACCATCTCCAAGGGCTATTGCAGTCACTTTCCTCCTATTTCTGTGAGCAGATACACTCATGAGATGTGGCCACTTGCCACATGGGCTGAAGAAATTCTTCAAGTCCTGCTCTCCACTTAGTTCTCTACAGCACACTGTACTGCTATGCTATGCTTGTAGTAAGAATATGAGGACAGTTGGACAACTTGGACTTCGTTTCTGTAATAATGTAATTGTGGGTGTTGAAATCCTGGAGCATTAAACAAGTTTTTAAAAGATCCATGTTGGCTTGAATGTTTCCCTTGGAATTCCTTTTTTTTTTCTTCCCCTTAACAAGAGACTGAAGTATTAGACCCTCATCTTTGGTCTTTGTCCCCATTTGTTCCAGATCAGATGGTAAAAATTCCTGGGATTCTTTAGGGACTTAAGTACTAAGTTTATAGAGAATGGTGACCAATGTTTGGGATGACAAGATATGATGAGACTAAATTAACTTTCTGTTTTCTGAAATCTGTTTCAGCAACTATACCAGATCCTGACAGACTTTGATATCCGGTTTTATATGTATGAGCTGCTTAAGGTAAGTGACATTCATAATAAGCAGTGGATTTTTTTCAGGTGTATTCGTTAAAAGAGAAGTTTTTGGGGGGACAAAGAGATCTCAGACTCTTTCTTGATACTTAGAGAATTTAGTGAAGTGGGAGTTTTCTTGTTGTTGTTTTTTAACTTACACTGAGATCTCTGTTGCAGGATCTTTACATAGAAACTTTCTCAGTGGAACTGAGAAAGATGGCCAAGTCAAGAGATACTAGGGACATTATACCAGAAATCAGAACCTCCTTCATAGCTTTTATTGGCCCTTGGGTTTTCTTTTTGCTGCTTAATTAATACTATTGGTTTTCACTCTATAACAAATCACCCCAAACTTAATGATTTTTTTTTAAAAAATCTGTGGGTTAGCTGGATGAGTCTTTTGGTCTGGGTCACCTTGACTAGAGCACATTGGTCCAGGATGGCCTCGTTCACATATCTGGGATGGCAGCTGGAATACCTCAAGGCTTGTCCTCCAGGGGTTTAGTCTAGGCTGCTTCTTCCCATAGTGGTCTCTGGCTTCTTAATAGCATGAGAGGGCAAAGTTTGATGTGTAAGCACTTCTCAGGCTTCTGCTTGTATAAATGTCTACTAAATGCCCTGTTGGCCAAAGCAAGTCATGGGCCAGGCCCGGATTCAAAGGGTGGAGAGGTAGACTATTTGATGGGAAGAGCATTGAAGTCACAGTGTGGAGGGAATGCATACTGGGATGGTAGGCATTTTCGGCCTTCTTTATCTTGCCATCTCTCATAATCCCCTTCCCAACCTACTCTTTGGCCCTGACTAACCTTGACGCGCAAGAAGAGGTGATGGATGGTCCGTCTTTCTAGGAGACTTAGTAATCCCAAGATGGAAATTCTGAAACACTAATGGTTGATGGAGGAATGTTTTTTTGGTTTGCTTGTTTGTTTTAGTTTTTTTAGTCTAGGTAAACACTTAGGTAAAGAATTCTAAAAAGCTTTGTAAAATGGGATAGACGAATGGTTCCTAAGTTGTTTGGGGTCATGGATCACTAGGAAAACATATAAAACCTCTCCAAAATGCCTGTATACATATACAGTATTACCTAAAGTCTTATGGGGGTTGTGGGTCTCAATTCAAGACCTCTGAAAGAGTAGAGATGACTGAGTTACTGGCATTATTGAAGAAAATTGCCAAGATTGAGTTTTGATGGGATTGCGAACAGTTGCTTGAACAAAATCCCAAATTAAGGCGAGGCTTTAGGAAGTGGGACTTTGAAGAACTGGCTGTGGGAAGTGAATGTGTTTTCTTATAAGCACTTGCACAAACCACTTGTCATTGATACCAAGGTGGTGGATTTAGGTGGATCACTCTTACAACTGATGGGTCTTTCTTTTATCAGTAAGATCAGAAACATGTGAGGGTAGAGCTGGGTTTATCACACCTTTCTCTATGTCCTCTCCAGACCAGAACGAAGGCCTTGGTGGGAAGAGGTTTGCAGTGTTGTGGTCTTGTGAGCTCTCAGGCTTAGCTCCTTTCCTGGAGGCCCTTTCTAGAGAACCCCATGCATTCACCCTATGAGAGCTATAATCCAAATCTGTCACTTGGTTATTTTTTTTAAGTAAGGGGTTAAGATTTTTGTGGTTTTCACTTAGTGCACACCAAAGGTGAAGATTTATAACCCAGCACAGTTGTCCTTAGATCGGGTGAAGACATCCCAGTGGCACAGGTCTTCGCAGGCTGGTCATTCAGGTGGTTCTCTGTGTCTGATGTCCCTAGCAGCTAGGCAGTAAGGGCTTGCTTTCTGTTAATGTGGCACACAACCCCAGATGAAGCTTGAAAAATGTCTTTCATGCTTAATGGTCAGATAATATCAGATTCTAAACTGAAATAACTTCCCCAAGGAATCTAAAAGCATGTCAGTAACTCCACAGGGAGTCTGACCAGTGAAGTTGGCAAAAGAATTAATTCTCTTACTGTACTTGTTTAACTTTTGCTTTCCTCAGATGTTTCTCACATCCCAGGTATTATGATCCTAATTAGTTCATTCCTTTGGGTGAAGACCAGGCAAAATAACAGAATCAACACTTGCTAAATTTTCTCTTCAGGTAGAAAAAAAAAATGGGGATAGGGTAGGGGAAATATGTAGCTTCTCCCAAAAATGTAGACGAAACTGAGGCTGAGGGCTATTGAGTCGTTGCTGGGTACACTGTCTGGTCTCCTGATTCGGATCCAGGGAGGTCTGTCCTCAGGAGCCCTGGTTTCAGAAAACATTGCCACAAAGCCACTGTGGAATCTTGCTACAACTGTTTTTGTGAAACAAAACAAAGAAAAAAATTAAATTGAAGTAGAAGCTCCATAAATGAACAATTCTTAAGTGTGCAGGTTTTTGGATTTCACATAAGTAAAACATTCACCCAGATATATGTGGTACTATGCTGTCCATTATAGTAGCTGTTGCCCACAGGTAGCTACTTAAATTTTAATTTCAATTTAAAGTTTCTTTGCTTAATCACAGTAGCCACAGTTGGTTTATTCAGTAGCCTCATGTGGCTAGTAGCTGCCATATTGGACAGTGCAGATATTTAGAATATTTCTGTCATTGCAGAAAGTTCTGTTGGACGGGGCTGGTCAAGAATATTATGAGTACACCAAAAGGTCTCATGTGTCCCTTCTCTTCAGGATCCCCTCCTCTACCACCAAGTTTAGTTTTGCCTGTTTTAAACCTACATATAAGAAACATCATACCCTGTGTCTGGGGAAAGCAAGATTTGCTTGTTCCCAGAATACCAATCCTAGGGATCATTTTCGGACTTACGCATTCTCTCCTATGTAAAAATGCCTAGTCCAGTGGTTCTCAACCAAGTCAATTTGGCGATATGTGGAACCACTTTTGGTTGTCACAGTTTGGAGGAGTGCTACTGGCATCTGGTCGGAAGAGGCCAGGGAGCCTCGTAAACATCCTGCCCTGCACAGGACTGCTCCCCACAACTGGGCATTCCCCGGTCCAACACGTCAGTGGTGCTGAGGTTGAGAAACCCTAATTTTGTCCCGAGGAAAACTCTACCAAGAGCACTCAGTGCCGAGCACATAGTAGGTACCACAAGATGATGGATGGCCGCAAGTATTGTTACCCAGGGAATAACATTTGAGTGGGCTGCAGTGCTTTTTGAGACCAGCCAAAGTGCCCAATTTGAAATTTATGAAAATAGATACTATGTTAGAAAAGGAGATTTAGAGCAAATTTTTGCATTCTTGAACACCAAAGACAAACTGCCTGAAGAAAAAACGGGCAAAAGATTTGAATCAACATTTGTCCGAAGAAAATAGAGGATGACCAGTAACACCTGAAATGTTCAACTTTGATGACTCATTAAGAAAATACAATTCAAATCCACAATGAGATTCCACTTCAAACCTGTCAGAATGGTCATAATTACAAAGATGAACCAATGACCAGCATTGGCGAGGATGTGGAGAAAGAAGCCTTCATACGTTATCGATGGGAATGTAGAATAGAGCAGGCATTTTGGAAGACATTTAGGACATTCTTGAAAAGTCTGATGTAAACTAACATACAGCACAGCACATCCACCCCTAGGAATCTGCATAAAAGAAATGAAAGCCTATGCCCTCTCAAAGACGTGTGCATGAATGTTCATAATAGCTAACAACTGGAAATAGCTCTGATGTCCATCGACTAGTGCGTCCGCACAGTGGAGTACTACTCAGCAAGAAGAAAGTAACGGATGAATCTCAGCAACCTGCTGAGCGAAAGAAGATAAAGTGCTGTATATTGTATTTTTCATTTAATGAACGTCCAGAAAAGACAAATCCATAGTAACAGCAGGTTTGTGGTTAAGGCTGAGGTAGGGGGCAAATGGGAAATGAGATTGATCACAGGCAAGCTAAAGGGAAATTCTTGGGAAGATGGTAAAGACTGGATTATGGTGATAGTTGTACAACTCTATAAATGTGCTAAAAAAAAAAAAAAAAGTATTGTACAGTTAAAAATCTTACCTGCATATCATTCATCTTTTAGGAAGCAATATCCTCCCTTAGAGTAGAAATAATAACGTAGTAATATCCTTCCTTAGAGTAAAAATGTAATTTTTTTAAAAAATTTTTAAAATGCTTATTATTTATTTTTGAGAGAGAGAATGAGACAGAGCATGAGTGGGGGAGAGCAGACAGAATCCAAAGCAGGCTCCAAGCTCCGAGCAGTCAGCACAGAGCCCAATGCAGGGCTCAAACTCATGAACTATGAGATCATCATCTGAGTCGAAGTCGGACATTTAGCCGACTAAGCCACCCAGGCGCCCCCAGAATATAATTCTTAAAGGCCAACTGGCTCAGGGATTGTTTTTAAATTATTTTTTTAATGTTTATTTTTGAGAGAGAGAGAGAGAGAGCGCTAGCGAACAAGTGGGGGAGGGGCAGAGAGAGAAGGAGACACAATTTGAAACAGGCTCCAGCCTCTGAGCTGTTAGCACAGAGCCCGACACGGGGCTTAAACCCACAAACCTTAAGATCATGACCTGAGCAGAAGTCAACGCTTAACCGACTGAGCCACCCAGGCACCCCTCGGGGATTATTTTTGAAGGAAAATACTAATACTAGAATACTTGTTAATCTCAAAAATCCACATGGGGCACTTATCTAAAACATAAGCCATGTTGAGCAATACGTTTAGATACCATTCTTCGTGTCCACAGGGACTCTTGGCGTGGCATTTGAACCCCCTATGAGAAGTGACTCTAGTGGGTTTCCCAGATCTGTTTTTAAACCCATTGAATTAGACTAACAGGCTGATGTATGATTTCTGAGTCTAGGTGGCTGGTAAAGTGTTACCAACTACAAGTAGGAGGAGTGTCCAAAGTGTCTCTGTCTCCTTTTTAACATAGCCCCCTTTCCACCAGCTGCCAGCATAGTGGGCAGAGAGCAAGGGATATCTTCTGAGCGTGTTTATTCTCATCTGTTACAGACAGTAAGCTGCACTTTAGGAGATACTCAAGTCAAGCTATCACAAATAAGAATATGCTTGCATTGGGAATTGGTAGACGGTTTGCTTATTTTTCTCTGTGCTTTCTTATCTAACAGGCTCTGGATTACTGCCACAGCAAGGGAATCATGCACAGGGATGTGAAACCTCACAATGTCATGATAGATCATCAACAGAAAAAGGTACCGTTGCAGCCAGGCAGCAACAAGTCTTTCCTCGGAAGGCTTACGGCCGACCAGAATGCTGGCCAGTACTGAGGTGGTACTGGAGACCCATGCTGTTTTCTTTGGCGGGCTTCTGTTACTTCTTAGTCTCCAGGGTTGCTTTCTACTTTGCATAAGTATAGTACACAAGGAAAGTAGACAGCTGAACCTAACTATAGTCCCTTGTTTATTTTGGTCATGGTTTTCTGGAGGACCCTGCAAAGAAACTACAGCTGATGGTTTCTACTTCATTTAATGACCCTCAGACCAATCTGCCTGGCCTCAAAAGTACACTTGGGTCCCTCCTTATTTTGATATTCAGTTCTGGTTGTCCCTGATAGATGAGTAAATGAATCAGTTACTTAGATTAATGAGAAGCTGGAGCAGCGCTTTGATCCTGGACTGGGGTCGTATGTCCCCAACCCTTTCCGTTGTGGCTAGAACTTATAATGGAAGCTATTAATGATGGGGGAATGTGTTATACATGGAAGTGCTATGGAGACAGAAAGAAAAGCTTAAGTTTTATTGATCTAAAGAGAATGAGAAGCCCAGGATAATTTAAATTTTCAAAAAGAAAAGGCAAATAGGATTTTGAGTACTCTGCTCTAGAAATGACCTCTTCCACAGTTGCTGAAAGTGTAATTTTTGCCAGTGCGCTTGCTGACATTTTTTGTGTGGCCCATGTAATTGTTAGCCAGTGTGATGGGGCCTGGTTCCAAGGCACAGGAGTCTAGAACTACATGCTTTACATGTTTGATTTCTGTCATGTTTGTAGCTGCGACTGATAGACTGGGGCCTGGCAGAGTTCTACCACCCTGCTCAGGAGTACAACGTCCGTGTAGCCTCGAGGTACTTCAAGGGCCCGGAGCTCCTCGTGGACTATCAGGTAAAACTGTTAGCCAAGCACCTGTGCACTCGGGGTGTATTGCCTTAGTGCTTCTCCCCGTTTGCTGTTTATTTAGCAGTTTGGATATATTGAAAACCCCACCCAAAGTGATAATTTCAAATTTTTCTCAATGACTTTTTTTTTTTTTTTTTGCTTCAAATTGTAAAATATGTGCAAAGGTCACCCTGAAGACTAGAAATTCAGATCTGAAAAATGCGTTTGTAACACCCTTCCCTGACAGGCCAACCTTATTTTCCTCAGATGTATGATTACAGCTTGGACATGTGGAGTTTGGGCTGTATGTTAGCAAGCATGATCTTTCGAAAGGAGCCCTTCTTCCATGGACAGGACAACTACGACCAGGTGAGCAAACACTAACTAGCCCCTCCCTGTGTAGGGGCAGAAGCCGAGAAAATGGAGTACTTTGACAGGGGTGATACCCTTGAGCCACTAAATATCGTTGAGTGTCTGCACATAAGTTTTCCTTCAGGGTAAAGAATTTCATGAAATTTTGTCTGTGGTTACCAGGTCCCCAAACATAACAGATAAAGCGATATTATGCCCAACTTCCAGAGTGAGTCTGTGAAGTCACGCACTCCTTGTCTAAATAAAACTAGATTCTTTTTTTTTTTTTTTTTTCAACGTTTATTTATTTTTGGGACAGAGAGAGACAGAGCATGAACGGGGGAGGGGCAGAGAGAGAGGGAGACACAGAATCGGAAACAGGCTCCAGGCTCTGAGCCATCAGCCCAGAGCCCGACGCGGGGCTCGAACTCACGGACCGCGCGATCGTGACCTGGTGAAGTCGGACGCTTAACCGACTGCGCCACCCAGGCGCCCCAATAAAACTAGATTCTAGTCCTTAGGTGATGCCTCTTGTAATCGTCAGCTTCTAGATTATTGTCATAAGTTGTTACCATTTTAAAGGCAGTTTGGAAATTTGCTTTCTGTGAACATCGTGTCCTTGTGTCTGCCGCTGTCAGCCCCCGGCTCCAGTCTGTATCTGGTGTCTGGAGGTAGAGTGATGTGGAAGTCCCCCTAATTCCTTGGGATAGCACCTCACAGGCTTGCAGTGAGCCCTGTGCTCAGTGATTTGGTCAGTTTGTTTTGTGTTTCAGCTTGTTCGCATTGCCAAGGTTCTGGGTACAGATGAGCTGTATGGCTATCTGAAGAAGTATCACATAGACCTAGATCCGCACTTCAACGATATCCTGGGACAGTAAGTAAGAGAGAGGGAGAGAGAAAGAGGGTTTTACCCCATTTCAATAGTGGGAGTGTTGGCTGAAATCGCTGGCTAATCCTAGCAGAATTGAAATACACTTCTTTATTCCCGTGTGTATTTTTTTTTAACTTGTTTTTTGAGAGTATTTGGGCAGTGTTTACATGTGTCTTTCGATTATTGTACTTCTCCAAGAGATAGTCTGTCAATCAGTAAAAAATTGAAGACAAAATCCTGTTACAGAAACCAGCTTTCTGGTACAGCATGTGCTTATTTTAGAAAGCTGTGATTCTTCTAGGAGTAAGACTGTTACAGTTTTTCTTGTTCGGTGTAATGGATTTTCCACAAGATAGCAAATTTGAAAGCATATTTTCAGGTACAGTGCAGTAGTGTTGAAAAGTAAATGTGTTGACAATATTCAAACAGTGGTTTATGGAACCTCTATGTTTCTGAGGCTAGCTCTCTAAATATTTCTGCTGAACAACAAAAATAACTCCCATCACCTCTGTGCCTCACCAAAATTGACTAAAAGCCTGAGGCATAAAAAGTGATCTAGAAAGGTGCCACAAACTAAATCAGATGTAGAAGTTAGAGCTAATTTTATTTATCAGTCATAGAGCACAGTTTTTATTTTAGGATGCTGCGAGTGTATCTGTGCGGGGGTGGGACAGGTACCAGCGAGAATGAGGTTTCACAAGCTTGGAATCAGTGCATTATTCTAAGATTTTGTTGGCTTTAGCCCTAATGCGTCAGGATCCTTGTTGAATTTAATCTCAGAATACTATTGCTTCCCTTTTTTCTCAGACATTCACGGAAACGCTGGGAAAACTTTATCCATAGTGAGAACAGACATCTCGTCAGCCCCGAGGCCCTAGATCTTCTGGACAAACTTCTGCGATATGACCATCAGCAGAGACTGACTGCCAAAGAGGCCATGGAGCACCCGTACTTCTGTGAGTCTCCAGGGACTGTTTTCAGGGGCATAACTTACTAAAGGAAAAATACTTCTCTTCATCTTTGAGATCAGTCAAGAGAATTCTAGGTATTTGTATTGAATCGTCCTTAGAATTTGGCCTCATTAGTTCTAGACCGTTGAGACAACTTTGCAGTTGCTCTGCAGAGGGGTTTGCTTGTTCACTGCCTTAGCTCCCTCGAGTCCGGGAGGGACTATTCCCTGTGGCCCTGAGCTTATAGATCACAAGTATCTAAAATTTGTTTTCAAGTGTATATATTTGTATGGAAACCTAACCAAAGGTATTCTTCCCTTCAAAAACCAAATAGTTAGTTAAAAGTGATAAGGTGACTGTAGTGTATCTTCAAAGAAGGAAATGAGTTAAATAAACAAAAGGAATTTGAGGAAAGGAAAGCAGGTATGGAAGGACTGCACTAAAATCTCACCTGCGTTAAAGAATTTTTAGGTCTCACTTCAAAGTGTGTGTATGTATTCAATGCATGTGGTTGCTTACTGTCTGCATGCATACAGGCCTCCCCACCCCCCACCGATAAAGATGTCTCCAACAAACTTTCCCCTTAATTGTTGGCGATGTGAGATGATTTAGTCCAGGCACAGGGGAGACTGGGGATGAAGGTTACAGGACCCGTCTCTGTTCACTCTCTGAATTGAGAAGAAAACCTTCAGCCTGTCTGTTGCTTGGCCAGTATGCTGTCTTCCCTCCTCCCGTCCTCCCCCTAAGATTAAACAAATCTTACCTGAAGAAAATAAATCTTGAACCTCTTGGCCTGTAAGCATTAGTAGACAGCAAATTGGAAAGGTTTTACCCTTTGGTCTTCTAGACCTCAGACAAGTGCAACTCAGATGTCCTCTTTCCAGTTTCTGGCACAGGAAGCCGTTTTTACCCTTTGAGTTAAATTGAACTAAGAATTCCAGTGTTTTATAGTAAGTAATTCGTGATTTATTTGCTTTTCTGAATACACATCTTTTGTAAGAAAAAATGTTTCAAATGACTGATGCTTAAAATTGATAGGCCTTCTAATGGCTCTTTTCATTCTCCCTTTGCTCCAAAGTACTCATTAGCACACATGATTTGAAGAAATTGGGGGTTGGATATGACAGTATTCAAGGAAAAGAACACATAAGAAAATAAGTAGTAATTTTGAACAGTGGGAAGTTAGTGAGTCTGGGCCTCTGTTTTCCATGGGCCTCAGAGATTGAACTTGCCTTCTGAGGGAAGTGTTAGGAGTTGACTCTAAGAGCAAATTCCCCTGATCATTTTTCAATGTCTGATTTTTCTATAACCTTAGATCTGTAATTTGTTTTTATTTTTTAATTTTTAAAAAAGTTTATTAGTGCGGGGAGAGGGAGAGAGAGAATCCTAAGCAGGCTCAACACTGTCAGTGCAGAGCCCAATATGGGGCTCAGACTCACGAAACTGAGCTCATGACCTGAGCCGAAACCAAGAGTCAGACGCTTAACCGTCTGAGCCACCCAGGCGCCCCTAGTTCTGTGATTTCCGTTGCCCTTCTGACTCTGTCTTCCCTGTCAGTCTGTCTATGTCACCGTGGAAGGGGTTTTGTCATGATGGTGTCTCCCACACCTACCAGCCCTGATTCAGCTGACTTCTGTCCTGTTTCCTTGCAGACCCTGTGGTGAAGGAGCAGTCCCAACCTTGTGCAGACAACGCTGTGCTTTCCAGTGGCCTCACGGCAGCCCGGTGAAGTCTGGAAGGCGACGGGTAATGCGGCATTGATGCTTGCCAATAAAATCAACCAACCAAACACAAATCTTGAAGGAAACTACAATGTGATAAAAAGAAGTTCTAGTCATTCCTTCTAAATGCAAAGAAGAGTAAAGACCTAAATGTCAAAAAGAAAGAAAGAAATTCCCCAGTACTAGTTACTACAGGGAGCCGCCATTCTGGCAGTGTGACGATGCACATAGTTCAGGATCTGAGGGAACACTCCCTTTGGAATGCATGGGAGATGAGAGACTCGGAGTTGTTGTGCATTTGCGTTTATTTAACAGGAGACCGCTGTTGAATTAACCTGTTCAGTCAACAAGCTCTGAATATCTGACTTCCTATCTATTCCACTGTGGTCTGGGTTTCCTTTGGTGAGATTCAGGCTCAAGTTTTAGCAAAATGTCAGCAGTCTATACTGACACACCAGCCTCATTTACGAAAAGGAGATATTAAAACAGTGACAGTATTTTTTTTTTAAGCTCTTTTACAAATTCATGTTTTATGTATTTTTTTATGACATGAGCTCTCTAGGAAATGTACCTCATCCCTGCAGTTTTCTTCTAAGTGTATTCATTTGGGAGCAAACTGCAGTCACTCTCACAAGGGTCCCCTTTGCTGTCAGAAGGCATCACTTTAAACCTTGTGACGCTGTGTCCAGGGCCGTCTGTCTCCTCAAAAGTTCGATGCAAAGTGCATAACTTGGAGCTCACTGTAACCTTTGTTGATTTGCCTAACCATAAAACCTTGTTGCTGTTTTTTCTGTGTAGCCTTTTTTTTCCTTTTGCAGCCTTGTAAGGAAAGCCTCACCATTTCCCAGCACATACATCCGTGTGTGTGTGTGTGTGTGTGTGTGCGCGTGTGCCTGTTTTAACACACCTCTCTGAAAGAGACTTTTTGGTCACAACCATAGTGAAAGCTGGAAAGTCAGTCTTCAGGCAGGCTGTGGAGGGAGAGAAACATCCTATTAGAATGTATTTAGGAAAGACCTGTTGGGTCAGAAAAATGTATTCTCCCCAACCCCCCTTTTTGCCTCGTTTTATCCTCATGAGAAGCAGTTTCTCTCTGTAATCAGGGTAACCTGCGTTTTTAAGCTCTGAGAGGTACCACGTGAATGTGATGGCAAAGCTGAGTCTTTCTCACTTGCAGGGACAGGTTGTGTGCAGGGCCAGCCCACTCCCAGGGATGAGCAGAGCATCATGCGAGGGGCTTGGTGAGGATTTGGAGCACATAGAGCAAGTATCAACGCTTGGGACCCATGGCACTAGCCTTCATGTTAGCAAAGGAAGCTAGATTCTGCTTTAAAAAGTAAAAAATGTAGAGCTGATGTCATTTTGGGGACTTGTCACCAGTATGCTTTGCAGGCAGTCCCCCCTCACCCCAGCTGCAGAGCCATGCCACAGCTGTGGGAACTTGACAGCTAGGCCAGAGCTGGAGCTAGGATTTCTTTGTTAACTATTTAATAATGCCATACATTTTTATAAGGTTAGATTGATTGTTTGAAAACCTCTGTTTACATTCCATATTCCAATAAAATCATATTGGTATTGGTAGCAGGTCCTATTTCTACATGTAGATTCTGTTTTTGTTGTTTGGTCGGTGGGGATTTGAAATGCAAATAAAACTCTTACTAGAGTTGAGCTCACGGATTACAACTTAAAAGTAAGACCCCAAAGCCAGGAAATGCATTCAGTTAAGGTTCTCATGCCGATACTACCTGTCTGTGTTGCACATTCTGTATATTGACAAGTCCATTTGTTCAGCCTGAAAAGCCAAGACATGAGCTCTCAGCTGGACCTGTATTGGCACATCAGGCAGCAGAAGCCTTCTGATGTGCCCCTCTAGGCAGCACTGTTGGTGATTATCAGGGAGATGTGCCACTGTGTCTTTTTTGCCCCCCTACTTCTCCCCTTTTCGTCACCCATTCTCTCCCCTTCCACTTTTTTTGTTTTTAGTTGTCTGTCTGGACCAGGCAGGGAGAGCATACTGGAGAGTCTTGGTGAAGTAGCAACTCCATTTTTTCTGTTGGGTTCCCCAGAGGCATTGAAAGCATCTGGAGGAGTACAGTCAGGTGATGTGCTCCGGCCTCTCTCCGTTGATGATTTAGTAGATGCAAACACAATAACTTGCCTGTCTTGTGGCTCTGACACAGGAATCGTTCTTCCTTTTCATGTATGCTTTACTTTTCCACCACCTATGGTCTTCACTTCTCTTCATGCCTTAGCATCGCTGAGTTTCAAAAGCCTGCCCCTTTCTGAGTCTGGTCTTGACACTTAGCTGGCTGGCTGGCTGACTGTAGGTGGTTCTTTCCCAAACTGAAGTGAGTCCAGTCCAGACCTTTTCTCTTCTTTCCCATCTCCGTAGCCATTCTGTGTCCCGATGTACCTAGCTCCTTCAAGATTTCAGAATGCTTACCTGGGTTAGGAGATGGTCATGGAGAGTTCAGGGTGTGGGGGGCAGGGAAGGGGAGAGAGGGGGCGGGGAGAGAGAGAGAGAGAGAGTGTGTGTGTGAGTCTGTTCTTCTATTTAGACTAAGCCAAGGTAGATTTGCCCACCCACTATCCTTTTTGATCAGCATGTTATTTCTTAAATTCATCTCAGTAATTTTTATTAGGCATTTTTTTTGCTTTGTTACCTTATAACAGGTTAAAAGTGCCTATGATAAGGACTTAGTTATTTCCTAAAGAAAAGCAAAAAATGTGGGGAACAGGGTAGTGTTACACTATCATCTCAGGTACTGCCTGTGTTCGACAACATAGGCCTGGTATGGTGAGAACAGAAAGTTCCTATGCCAAATACAGATTGGTCTGATTGACCGCAAGTGAGCATAAGCGCGAGGCTTTGCTTCAGCTGACGAGTCCCATGGCGAGAGCAGAACTGATGGAACGCCAAGTGATACTTTCATCTGCAGTTTGCTTGCTGTTCACTCTCCCCTGGATCATATCAGCTGCCTGCTCTTGTCCTGTCCCTGTGGGAGGTGACTGGGTGGGAGAAGCCAAGTGGACAGTGCAGACAAGCATTCTTGGGTCTTCTCACCAATTAGAGCAGTGCCAGTGGTGGCTCTTGGAGGCGCCTAAACACCGGCTGCTGCACCAGGCCTGACAGACGTTCTCTAGCGCATCACTGCTCACAGGGCTCAAAGCTAGTGTGTTCCCTTGCAGAGAAGGAAGGGACTCAGACTGCTTGGATGGAGGAGACAGAAGAGCTTGTAATCCTGAGGGGCTCAGCAAGGAGGTGGTTAAAGGAAAGGGAACCAGTAAGAAAAACAGTCAAGGGATAGGTCTTGAGGAGAGAACATGACTTCTTCAGAGAGTCAGGGGTACCACCTTCATGACGTGGAATGTGCCCTGAGATGGGCACTGCCCCCTGGAGTGGTTCCAGCGCCGCTGAAAGGTGGCGCACTCAGACAGCTGCTGAGTCCCCAAGAGAGCTGGCGGCCATGGTCTCGGTCCGCACCTACTCAGGGAAATGACTTAGGTTCTCCCAGGTGCTGCGTTGAGGATGGAAGCAAAACTATTTGGGAACACAAGCAGCAATTGGAAGAATTTTTATATATGCATTGAAGTGGTTCTAAGCCCACTTAGCAGTTTCCCTTAATGCCAGTTCAGACTGAGCGATTTGTTTAGAAACCTGTGTTCCTGCATGGGCACTCGCAGGAAAAAGCAAACTTCCCTCCTGCAGATAATAGGGGTAAGCTGGAGTTAAGTTCATTGAAATAGAAACCCTTCTAAAAGCAAAAGCAGGGTGCACGGGAGCACACGAAGAGCCAGAGGTTTTCAGTGAGCTTAATAAGTCTAAGGTGGCATAACATCCTGCTTCTAAAAATTAACCCCAGGGTGGGAATGGGGGGCGGGGGGGGAGGTGGCAGTGAAACATCTGGCAGAGAAAACCAGTAATAACAAACACTTTTGAGCTCTATGGATGTGTTCATGGAAACGACGACAAGCAGGTGTTGTGGAGGCTGGGGAAAGTGATGTGATGGGTTATACAGCTGATGCCATGAGTACTTTTGTGTAGAGACTCAACAATGTGCTACAAATGTGATACTTAATCCTGAACTGCATGTATTGGGGATTGTTTGAAAAAAAAAAAAAACAAACTTTCGTTGAATCAATAAATTAACAGTTTTGCACTTGCTGGCTTTTCTTGCTGTAAATGGCGACTAAGAGGTTGGGACAGAAATCTGGACACCCTGTGGAAAGCTTGGATAAATCTTCAAGAACCGTGGAGCCAACTATTTCCTTCTGTTTGCAGAACAGCAACACTGCCTGGGTTGTGATCCCTTCCAAATGATCACTTCAGACACACTTGGCCACCTCTTTGTATCACTGGATGACTGATGTCTGATTGATGTGCTGCTGCCCTTAGAGGAAAGACAAGTGTCATGTGAAACCTTGTTTTCAAAAATAAAAACGTTGATAACCACCAGATTCCCAAGCGGGAGACAAGCCACTGCTATGAGGCCCTTAAACTTGTATTTCCTGTCTCTTGGGGGAGAGGAGGGGTGCACCTTGAACTGGAAAGATGTGTGTATGGGGGTTGCAGTTCATCACCACCTTCGTGTGGAGCTTTCCTTTATCAAGAGAGGTGGGACTAGAGTGGTGTCATGTGGGGCTTGTGCTGTTTCTTGGTACTTGCTCCAGAATCCCTCTCCTAGGCACCTGCTTCTGGGATTGGCCCATTTTAGTGCACAACTTTAACCTTTGTGGCTGAGTATTCTGCGTTTATGAAAACCTCTCCCCACTCCCATTCCTTGCATCAAGAGCGGGCACACACTATTGTGTGTCTGCATTTGGCAGATGATGGTGTCTTTAATTAGTGTGCTTCTCACTGATGGAACCCTCAGTGGCGCTGGACGCTTGGAAATCAGTTGCTGAAGTGCTTAAAGGCAAATAGTCCTTTCTTTCTTGAACCTCACGCACCATGCGGCCTTTCTCAAGAAAGGCCTTTCTTCCTTTACCCAGAGGAAGTTTTCACGAAGCAGTGTTTCTGTGACAGCTTCCCAGGGGCACAGTCCTTTTCTCTCGATGTAGTGCCGATCTGTGAGACGTTGCTTCTAGAATTCCGCTGCTGGCATCTCACCACCCACTTCACTGTGCTGGACATGGAAGGGAAAATGGGGTTTTTAGGCCATGCCTCACAGCTGCTCCCAGGGGAGAGTTAAAAATATTTGAGCTCCCTTTTTGCTCTTTGTTTATTAGTGGACTGGGCACTTTCCTGGTATAAATACAGTCCTCTGATTATTAGTCCCAAGACATCCTCAGTAAACGGGGTCAAGGCTGATGGGGACCCAGCATTGGACTGTTGAGCCTGTCACTCAGCTTGCTCAGAACAGTCGAGAGGCCTCGGTGCTCCTAAATCTGCACTCTGAACCCAAGAGGCAGGGAGGAGACTCGGGCACACATGCTGTGTCCGGAGCTTTCCCCTCTTCCTCCCAGGAGCCTGCACCCAAAACCGCCTCTGCTAGTG